TCCTTTATCCATTTTGAGTTTATTTTTGTGAATGGTGTGAGAAAGTGGTCTAGTTTCAATCATCTGCATGTTACTGTCCAGTTCTCCCAGCACCATTTGTTAAAGACAGTCTTTTTTCCATTGGATATTCTTTCCTGCTTTGTCAAAGATTAGTTGGCCATACTTTTGTGGGTCTAGTTCTGGGGTTTCTATTCTATTCCATTGGTCCATGTGTCTGTTTTTGTGCCAATACCATGCTGTCTTGATGATTACAGCTTTGTAGTAGAGGCTAAAGTCTGGGATTGTGATGCCTCCTGCTTTGGTCTTCTTCTTCAAAATTACTTTGGCTATTCAGGGCCTTTTGTGGTTCCATACAAATTTTAGGATTGCTTGTTCTAGTTTTGAGAAGAATGCTGGTGCAATTTTGATTGGGATTGCATTGAATGTGTAGATAGCTTTGGGTAGATTGACATTTTGATAATATTTATTCTTCCAACATGAGCACGGAATGTTTTTCCATTTTTTTATGTCTTCTTCAATTTCCTTCATAAGCTTTCTATAGTTTTCAGCATACAGATCTTTTACATCTTTGGTTACATTTATTCCTAGGTATTTTATGCTTCTTGGTGCAATTATGAATGGGATCAGTTTCTTTATTTGTCTTTCTGTTGCTTTATTATTAGTGTATAAGAATGCAACTGATTTCTGTACATTGATTTTGTATCCTGCGACTTTGCTGAATTCATGTACCAGTTCTAGCAGACTTTTGGTGGAGTCTATCGGATTTTCCACGTATAATATCATGTCATCTGCGAAAAGTGAAAGCTTAACTTCATCTTTGCCAATTTTGATGCCTTTGACTTCCTTTTGTTGTCTGATTGCTGATGCTAGCACTTCCAACACTATGTTAAACAACAGCAGTGAGAGTGGACATCCCTGTCATGTCCCTGATCTCAGGGGAAAAGCTCTCAGTTTTTCCCCATTGAGGATGATATTAGCTGTAGGCTTTTCATAAATGGCTTTATGATCTTTAAGTATGTTCCTTCTATCCTGACTTTCTCGAGGGTTTTTATTAAGAAAGTTTGCTGAATTTTGTCAAAGGCCTTTTCTGCATCGATTGACAGGATCATATGGTTCTTATCTTTTCTTTTATTAATGTGATGTATCACATTGATTGATTTGTGAATGTTGAACCAGCCCTGCATCCCAGGAATGACTCCCACTTGATCATGGTGAATAATTCTTTTTATATGCCGTTGAATTCGATTTGCTAGTATCTTATTGAGAATTTTTGCATCCATATTCATCAGGGATATTGGCCTGTAGTTCTCTTTTTTTTACTGGGTCTCTGTCTGGTTTAGGAATCAAAGTAATACTGGCTTCATAGAATGAGTCTGGAAGTTTTCCTTGCCTTTCTATTTTTTGGAATAGCTTGAGAAGGATAGGTATTATCTCTGCTTTAAATGTCTGGTAGAATTCCCCTGGGAAGCCATCTGGTCCTGGACTCTTGTTTGTTGGGAGGTTTTTGATAACTAATTCAATTTCTTCGCTGGTTATGTGTCTGTTCAAGCTTTCTATTTCTTCCTGTTTGAGTTTTGGAAGTGTGTGGGTGTTTAGGAATTTGTCCATTTCTTCCAGGTTGTCCAGTTTGTTGGCATATAATTTTTCATAGTATTCCCTGATAATTGCTTGTATTTCTGAGGGATTGGTTATAACAATTCCATTTTCATTCATGATTTTATCTATTTGGGTCATCTCCCTTTTCTTTTTGAGAAGCCTGGCTAGAGGTTTATCAATTTTGTTTATTTTTTCAAAAAACCAACTCTTGGTTTCGTTGATCTGCTCTACAGTTTTTTTTAGATTCTATATTGTTTATTTCTGCTCTGATCTTTATTATTTCTCTTCTTCTGCTGGGTTTGGAGTGTCTTTGCTGTTCTGCTTCTATTTCCTTTAGGTGTGCTGTTAGATTTTGTATTGGGGATTTTTCTTGTTTCTTGAGATAGGCCTGGATTGCAATGTATTTTCCTCTCAGGACTGCCTTCGCTGCATCCCAAAGCATTTGGATTGTTGTATTTTCATTTTCATTTGTTTCCATATATTTTTAAATTTCTTCTCTAATTGCCTGGTTGACCTATTCATTCTTTAGTAGGGTGTTCTCTAACCTCCATGCTTTTGGAGGTTTTCCAGACATTTTCTTATGGTTGATTTCAAGCTTCATAGCATTGTGGTCTAAAAGTATGCACGGTATGAACTCAATTCTTGTATACTCACAGAGCCCAATGTGGGGTTTGAACCCACAAACCACGAGATCATGATCTGAGCCAAAGTCAGATGGTTACCTGGGTGACTGAGCCACCTAGGTGCCCCTCAACTTTTATTTTTAAGGAGCACTTTTAAAAAGCCAGTCAGTCTCCATTTTTTCTCTCCAAATAAGACAAGAACCTGAGCATGCTAACACATTTTCTATGTTTCTTCCCTACATCTGGCTCCCCACCCACCCAAACTTTGTACAAACTACCTTGGGCTCTTACTTGAATTTTATTTCCAATGTATTAAAAACTTCCAAATAGAAATATTTATTTCAACTTTACAATATGTTTTACTTATTTATTTGCCCATTATATCTTCTTATAACTCCTTTCTTCCTTTATTTTTATTTCTCTTAGATTTCAAAACTGAATAGATATTTAATGGAGGGTCTATTGGGGGTAAACTTTCTGAGTTCTTTAATGTCTGGAATTTTCTTTGGTTGCCCTGATTTACAAATAATAGTCTGGTTGAATATAAAACTCTTTTTTAAAGTTTATTTATTTTGAGAGAGATAGAGTGTGTGTGTGAGTGTGTGAGTGTGTGTGTGTGTGTGTGTGTGTGTGTGCATGAAGAGCGGAGGGGCAGAGAGAGAGGCAGAGAGAGAATCCCAAACAGGCTCAGTGCTGTCAGCACAGAGCCTGATATGGGGCTTAATCCCACGAACTATGAGATCATGAACTGAACCACAATCAAGAGTCAGATGCTTAACTGACTGACCACCCAGGCGCCCCTGAATATAAAACTCCTGACTCAAACTTACATTTACTCAGATTTTAATGCCTTCTTGATTTGATATCGCTGATAGGCAATCTGATGTTGGTTGAATTCTCATCCCATTGTAGGTAATGTCTTGAACTCTTAGGGCTTCCTCTTTGTCTTTGACTTTCAAAAACATTATGATTTTTCTAAAGTATGAGCTTAAAAAGAATTATCAGTGAGCTCTCTCAATTTCTGTATTTGTGTCTTTTTGATGCTCTAAGAAATTGTCTACCAGTTTTATCAAAATGCTACTCTTCTTCATTATCTCTTTCTGGAATTCCCTTCAAATGAATATAGAAGTATCTGAATTGAATCTCTATATCACTAAACTTGCCTTTTACACATTCTGTCTTTTCATTTGTGCTGTGTTCTTGGGGGCATTTTCTTTGCATGCTTTCTGGTTCACAAATATAATATTTCTCTGTATCCAGTCAGCTCCTTATACATCTGTTGGAGACTTGTTTAACTTTTGGCTATTACATTTTTCAATTTAAATTCTCCAATAGGATCTTCAAAACTACCTGTTTTCACTGCATTGATGTGAATGGTGCTCCTTTAACTCAGATGGTGCTAACATATGGATTTTTTTTTAATGTTTATTTATTTTTGAGACAGAGACAGAGCATGAACGGGGGAGGGTCAGAGAGAAAGAGGGAGACACAGAATCTGAAGCAGGCTCCAGGCTCTGAGCTGTCAGCAACAGAGCCTGACGTGGGGCTCGAACTCACGGACCGCGAGATCATGCCCTGAGCCGAAGTCGGCTGCTTAACCGACTAAGCCACCCAGGCGCCCCTAACATACGGATTTTTAAACATTTTCCTGATTGTCCTGTGAAATATCTACCTGCGGTAAGTTCTCTGTTTCCCCTACTTCGTAAATGTTGCCTTCTTTATATATTTGGTAATTCTTGGTTGTAATCTCATCTCAGAGGGTTCTATTCTATAAATGCTCTAGGTTGTGATGGCTCCTGGTTGTCATTGGCCATGCAGTTGGCAATGGTGGCCTCTAGGTGGCAGTGCGGGGTCAGGGGAGGAGATGGAAGGAGTGCAGTGGCCCTGGGAGTGAGAGCCTTGAAGAGATGCTTCATCCCCTATGATCTTACAGCCAAGGCAAGGATGGCACCACCATACCTCTCAGGCTCCGATTTGACTTCTTATTTAAGGTTTCCTCAGAGTTTCTGATCCTTAAACAGCTCCCTTTCTTGTTTTGAATCATGGATTCTGAATTTATTAATCTGTTTTATCTTTTCCGTTGTTATTCTGATGAGTTTGGTGCTGGTGGTAAGGAAAATATTACAAAGGAGAATTTCCAATTTCAAGAAGAAAGAGGAAGGACAGGCTAAGATCACTTCCCAACATTAAAAAAAATTTAGGGGCACCTGGGTGGCTGAGTCGGTTAAATATCAACTTCGGCTCAGGTCATGATCTCAGGGCTTGTAAATTTGAGACCTGCGTTGGTCTCTGTGCTGACAACTCAGAGCCTAGAGCCCGCTTCGGATTCTGTGTCTCCCTTTCCCTCTGCTCCTCCCCCCGCTCATGCTCTCTCTCAAAAGTAGACATTAAAAAACTTAAAAACATAAAATTTGATGATTTTTAATTACCCAGTACATTTTATGAAGTTGTCTTTTAAAGAAACAATTTAAATTAACTATTGCACATCCTAAATAACAAAGAAATTTTAGCCATTATTATTATGCAACATTTTATTCTATTAACAATAGCTGAGTTTTTCTGACCACCAATGTATTTTTCAGTCCCCAAATGCACCATCAATCTGAACTAATGTCCTATCTTCCGCGGGACCAATTGGATCGGACACATTCAAGGGTAAGGAGCCTCTTGGTCTGAGAGCTACCGGCCTCACTAGAGCTCACAGAGGCCGCTTGAAAGGTTCTGTGTGGGTGGAATGAAACCCAGTGTGTGACGTGCTGAGACTGTGCCTGGCACACTGTCTGTCCTCAGTACGTGCGCGTTACTCTTTTACACTGGTACTGAGTGCTCTGAGCTGCTGAAGGTGGCCTCTTGGCTGTTCGTAAATGATTTGGTCCTCACCGCTCTGTACACACTGCCAGGTGCATTTGAGCAGCCTGGCTCAGACTTGGACTTGTTGCCGCCACACTGCTGGGGTGGAGGGGGCTGGTTATGCTGGGCACAGTGACCAAACTTCTGGTCCCAACCCTTCCTGGGCCAGGGGAAGGACTTGGTCTTTAGGGATGTTTCACTGGACTTGCTCCTCATCCTTGCCCCATGGACCTGCCTCATTTCCTCCCTCTTCCCGGCCTGGGAGAAGGTGTTCCACCTTCGTGTGTCCCTGTGTGCACATGTATGTGCTTTCTCCTTGTATTAGCTGCACCAGAGGCCTTGGTGGTGCTGGCCGACCTCCAAGACGTGAGGGAAAGGCCCTTGGATGGGAGCCGCCCAGAGGGTGGAGGTTCCAGTCTCACAAATCCCTGCCTTGCTGAGCTGGCCATATCACTGCCGCCACCTAGGGAGCAGGTATCTTGGTCAAGAGATGGGCTTGGAGTGGAGCCGGAGCCAGGGCAGGAGGGCTGAAAAGATGAGCCAGTAGCCAAGGGCAGGGCTTCCCCACTTCTGGGCTGCTGTTTTCTGATATTCCTGAATGGGAGACATGGGGCTCCTCAGCACTCTAGGTGGCTGGCAGAGCCTGGGTGTTTGGAGCCCGCTCAACCATTCTCCTCGAGCTCCCTGCAGACATTGACCCTCGTATGCCCAATCAGTGAAGGTACCAAATAGTGTCTTAGATGAAAGGAATTGGAATTATGGGCCCAAGGGACCACCTAGCCTTCCTCAGGCATAACATTTTTGAATTAGGATTGATAGCTGAGGTGACAGCCTTCACACAGGCCTCCTTTGCTGGCCTCACCAGGCTGGCAGGTGCACCTACAGAGTTTCATGCTTAGTAGAAGCCCTGGTGGACCCCTCTCCTGATCTGTGCCTTCCTCTGAACAAGAACTACTGCAGGCAGGCTGCCTTCTTGGGTCTCCTGGTGTCCCATATGGTGGCCTACCTGTGACCAGGGCCACTATCCTGAGGTTTCTTGTCCCATTCCCAGACTGTACCTGGCTTCTGGAGCCCTGATCCTGGAATCTAGGCCTGACCTGGGATCTAGCTTCTGGTTGGAACTCCCAGAGAAGGCTTGCTGTGGGGTCAGGCTGACCCTAGGGAATCAAGAATGAGAGGCAGATTGGAGTCCCAGGGCGAGAGACCCCTTTCATTGAGGGACAGTATGGTCAGGGACTTGCCACCACAGCCTGCATCAGCCTGAGGTTCTGATGTTTCCCAAAGAGCATGGTCCATTAGCAGGTAGACATGCCTTCTATGGTCTGAATATATAAATTTGGAAATCACCAGTGTATCCATGTTACTTAAAGCCAAGGGACTGGAAGAGACTGTTAAGTGAATGAATATAGACAGAGGGAAAAAAAGGAAGAAAACAAGAAGTTTAAGAACTGAGTTGTGGGGACTCCAACCTGCAGATGTCAGGAAAGTGGTGAGAAGCAGCCATGGTAACTGAAGGAGAGCAACTGGTGAGGTAGGAGAGATACCAGGTTAGTGCAGTGTGCAGAAAGCCAGGAGGAGAATGCACTTGAAGGAGGGGAGCATCCCTGACAGCATCACACGCAGCTGAGAAGCTCAGTAGGGAAGGACAGAGGACCCATCTTTGAACTAGCAATGTGGGTTCACTGGGTGCCTCGACCAGCAGTTTGGCAGAGCAGTAGGAGAGAAACCTGACTGGGTCAAGAAAAAATGGGAGGAGAGAGATTGGTGACAATATAGGTAAATCTTTTGAGGAGCTAAGCTGTAAAGAAGAACAAAGAAATGGGGATGTAGCTAAAGGGAGATGCTATGTGGGGAGCAAGAGTTTGGGTTTTGACACTTGAAGGATTACTGTATGTTTAGTCACTGATGGGTATGATCCAACAGAAGAAAAATTGGTGTTGTGGGAGAGAGAATGGAAATTTTCTGAATGAGTGTCCTTGAGTAGGTGAGAGAAAATGGAACCTAGTAGACAAGTGGGTGGTTGGCCTTAGAAGATAGGTGACTGACCTCCAGTTACCGAAGGGAAAGCTCCCCTCTTTTTATCACAAACTCTTATTTTTAATAATAATATATTTATATATCCTCTAGTGAATGCTTATTTTGTGCTACACATCTTACATATGTTTTCTTTTATCTTCACAACAATTCTATGAGGGAGGTAATATTATTACTCCTGTTTTACAGATGTGGAAACGGAGGCTCAGACAAGTTACTTACCCAAGAACACTAAGGTCACCAGTAACCAGGTCTTGAACTCAGGGCTTAGTTTTTATTCCTACACCCCAGCAATTAATCACCATACCACTGTACATTTTTGAGCACTTACTTTTTAGCAAGCTCTATTTTGGATGTGGATGTGGAGAACATTAGGAGAGGTGCAAGTTAGAAAAGAAAAGAAAAGAAAAGAAAAAGACTTTGCACCTGGGGAACTTTCAATAAAGCTGAGAGGCCTGGTAAGGAAGGACTGTGGACCCCCCATCACACTAGCAATGTGGGTTCATTGGGGCCCTCGACCAGCAGTTTTGTAGAGTGGTAGGAGAGAAACCTGACGGCTCAAGAAAAATGGGAGAAGAGAGATTAGTGACAATATAGGCAAATCTTTTAAGGAGCACACCCTTCAGCCCCATAGTGGGTTGGGCTGAGCCTCAGGGATAATATGTTGGGGTGGGGGGTGCAGGTATGTGAGTATCTCACACTGACTGACTGATGTTATACCCAGGTCCCAGCCTCTTCTGTGCCCCTCAGCCCCACCCTCACCTGGGTGAGGTCTGTGACTTAGACAGCTGTCAGGCTCCCACCCACAGGCTCCCCTGAGAATTACATAAGGTACTTCCTGTAGCCCATGGGCCCACCCTAGGCTAGGCCCAGAGCCAGCTGGGAGAAACCCTGCTCAGTCCTGGGGCAGCAAGGCCCAGCAGGCTGTTAGTCACCAGCACAGGCTGTTTCTGTCCAATCTGCAGCACAGCTGAGAATCCTCCCTCAAACAGGTATCGGCTTTGGGGCCAGCCCCATGGCCAAATTCCAAGGATAGGACCTCAGAACTTAGCCTGTGGAAAACTTGAGAAGTCATTCAACAGTTTTTGTAGGAAGACACTCAGGGCTAAGAACAGAGCTAGTCCCTGAGGGGTGAACAGCCTGGTGCTGGCTACACATGTGAGGAGAAGAAAAGGAAGGGGTGGGTGTGTTGTGCACAAGAATATTTCTTTTTCTAAAAATTTCTTTTAACGTTTGTTTATTTCTGAGAGAGAGAAAGAGAGAACATGTGTTGGGGAGGGGCAGAGAGAGAATGAGGACAGAGGATTCAATACAGGGCTTGAACTGACAAACCATGAGATCATGACCTGAGCTGAAGTCAGATGCTCAACCAACTGAGCCACCAGAATGCCCCACACAAGAAGACTTCCTGAAGGAAGGGGCCCAGTTGGGTCACAGAGGACCGTCAGAGGAGGGGAAAGGGAACATCAGGGTGAGGGAGCAGTAGGTAGGGAAGAGGTCATCCTCAGGGAATGTGAGGAAAGGAGGTGCAGAGAACAGGAAGGGCCAGGAGGTAGAAGGCCTGTGAGTCAGAGGCAGAAGGGTTTGGACTCAATAAGATCCACAAGTCAGAACTCCTGCACGTTCTCCATTGAGGGCGCGTGTCCGTGTGACAGGGATAGGAAATAAGGCAGGGGTTCAGAAGATGGAGGGTGGAGACAAGGAAGCGTCTTCGAAAGCCTTGTAGAGGGGGAGAGTTCAGAGGGAGACAGCGTGGAGAGAACACAGGTCTCAGAGTCCTTCTAGAACGACAGGAATATGGGAATTTGTGACACATCAGAGACTAAAAGGAGAGGAAAATCGCAACATGGTTCTCAAGGTGGGCCTAACACTAAAGGAGTGATGGTGTTGAGGGGAGACCTGGTGCTGGAAAGTTCTGGATGATTTGTCAGTTATCAACTTACTGTCTCTTAGGGTTCCAAATGGTGCCCCCTAACTTTCTATGCCCTGTGATTGACAACAGGATTCCCCTAAGCATCTCTCCTTTAGGGCCTGCACGATGTTAAGCTCCTGAGTAGAGGGCATGGGAGAGACTCTCCTGCTGTTTTTGAGGCTGGGGACCAGGCGTGGGGGTAAGAACACCCAAGGGGCCTGCCCAGGCCACAGGCCCAGATGACAGCCATCTCCAAACTCATAGCCTCAGCCTGGCCATAATCTTTCCACAACCATCTTAGTGAGGAAATCAGAACCTCTGAGCATGCAGAGGTCTCCTGCCCGCACTGGTGCCCAGCCCCTGCCTCACACCCACATCACCAGTTGCTGGTCACCTGCTCCCCATTTTAAACTCTGGAGCAGCACCTACTGCTTGCTGGGCAACCCCAGACCCACTCTGGCCTGGCTGAACCAGCAACCTTGTCAGCCATCGGGTGGGCTGAACCCGCCTTCTCCAACAGTGTTAGGGGACCATACAAAGTTTCTTTACATCTTACGTTACTCCTTTATCACAGCTAATAATTCTTTATATTATAATGAACTAATCTTGATTGGACTTACTTTCTGTTTCTGGTTAATCAGGATTTTGCTTTTTTGATTAAAATGAGAAAGTGTTTATAGGATATGATGAGACCCTCTCATTTGGTCCCCTATCAAATGAGCTCACAGTGCCTTTGAGAGGAATTGCATACAACACTTCCTGTGGACAAGCAAAGTACAAAGCCATTCCTTTTCTGAGCCAGCAAATTGTAGAAACATCTCTTCTGGTGGATAAAATACTAAACATGCCCCTTGTTTAATTCCGACCCAGCCCCATGCCAGGGCACCAACTTGATGACTATAGCAAGAGCTGTAGATTGGCCTCCACTCCTCCCACAGCTGGGTGCCTTTGTGCAGGGTAGTGGAAAAGAGCAACAAAGACTGGGGAGAAGGTAGATTGGGAACATCCAGGTCTAGGGGAGAGGAGGATGGATGGATGGATGGAGAAGTGGACAGACTTAGGGGAGTGGGCTCAAAGGGAGAGCATCTGTGCACCAATGACAGTGCCTATCAGTTGTAGAAGAAAGACTGTCCAGACAAATGAGTAGGGTGGCCCATCCAGTTGGCCATTAGCCCATGTCCTCATCCATCCTAGTATTTGGACATCATTACTCAGCAAAAGGAGAGGCAGCTTTTGGAATACTCACCTTCTTGTTCAAGGAGCTTGTTTCCAGGATTTATCAATCAGCTCTACCTCCTATATTTCTCATAATTAAGCCAATCCCAAGGAAGTTCTTTCCCCAAGCCCATGCACCCATTACTTACTTAGGTTTTGCAAGTCAGGGCATGCTCTGTACCTTGGTATGCCCAGTCTGCAGCTGTCCCTGAGTTCCTCCCTCGCCCACGTCCCTGCTCCTCTATCTGAACTCCTACTTGATTTTCATCGCTTTGGGCAGTCTTTCCAGATATTTTATGGGTTGGGATTCAAATGTCTTTTAGTTTCATCAAGAGGGTTTGTGTTTCTGTTATTTTCTTCCATTGCTTTTGGATGATTTCCAAAGGGAAGATACTGAATTTACTGTGTACATTTTAAAATCTTGTAAGGTTTTTGAAGTTTTGTAAATGTGGTGTGTATGAAATAGTATCTCTCTGTGGACTTAATTTGCATTTCTCTAAATACTAGTGAGTTTAAATATATTTTGTGTGTTTTTGGTATTCTGGTTTACTCTTCTGTGATATGCCTGGTTATATACACTGACCATTTTTCTATTCAGTTCTTTGTCTTTTTCTGACTGACATATATATATATATATATATATATATATATATATATATATGTGTGTGTGTGTGTGTGTGTGTGTGTGTGTGTGTGTATGTATTTTGATCTAATACATTTTGGCTAAATGTGTTGCAAATATTTTCCCTCTGTCTGTGGCTTATTTTCTCAACTTTAGAAATTCTCTTTTATTAAAAAGTTTTATCTTCTAATGTAATCAAGTGTATAATTGTTTTCCTTAATGGCCTATGTTTCTTAAGAAATCCCTCCTTATCCTGATGCTGTAAATATCTAACTCTTTTTATTTATTTATAAATTTTTTAATGTTTACTTATTTTTGAGAGAGACAGAGAGACGGAGCATGAGCAGGGTGAGGGGCAGAGAGAGGGAGACACAGAATCTGAAGCAGGCTCCAGGCTCTGAGCTGTCAGCACAGAGCCTGACATGAGGCTTGAATTCACCAGCTGTGAGATCATGACCTGAGCCGAAGTTGAATGCTTAACTGACTGAGCCACCCAGGTGCCCCTCTAACGCTTTGTTTTTAAAGTTTATGTTATTATTTCTTTTGAGAGAGAGAGAAAGAAAGAGAGCGCGCACGCGCGCACACACACACACACACACACATACACACGAGTGTGAGAGGGGCAGAGAGGGGGAGAGAGAGAATCCCTAGCAGGCTCTGCACTGCCAGTGTGCAGAGCCTAATGCAGGCTCAAACTCACAAACCATGAGATCATGATCTGAGCCGAAGTCAAGAGCTGGTCACTTAACTGATGGAGCTACCCAAAAGCCCCTCTAACTCTTTGTTTTTAAAATCAAAGGCCTCTAATTAATTTCTAGTGAGGCAACTCTCCTTCCTGTTCTTCTTTAAAATTTTGTTGGCTAATTGCTTTCTTAGCACAGTGGACAGCGCGTCAGTCTCAAAAAATTCTCTTGGCTATTATTGTTTTTTGGTCCTTCTATAAAAATTTTAGATTTAGCTTGTCAAGTTTCATTGAAAAATCCTCTGGGGCTTCATTTGGAATGAAATTAAATGTATAGATTATTTTAAAAATGTTTTTGTAATGTTTATTTATTTTTGAAGGAGAGAGATACAGAGCACGAGCAGGAGGGGCAGAGAGAGAAAGGGAGACACAGAATCCAAAGCAGGCTCCAATCTCCAAGCTGTCAGCACAGAGTCCAGCTCGGGGCTCAAACTCACAAACCACGAGATCATGACCTGAGCTGAAGTCGGATGCTTAACTGACTGAGCCACCCAGGTGCCCCAAGTGTATATTTTTAAAATTAAAAATTAAAATTAAAAAATGCATAGATTATTTTTTGAAATAATGGACATCTGTAGATATGGAGTCTTTCTATGAAGAAACATAGCATTTTTTTTCCAATTTTTAGGTCTTTGCTAATGCCTTTCAAATACACAGTTAAAATTGTGTCCATTCCTTGAATGCTCGGTAAGACCTGCCATAAAACAATCTGGGCCTTGAGTTTCTCTTTTGTCAGATTTCTTTTTTTTAATAAGATGTTTCTTTTCTTTTTAAGTTTATTTACTTATTTTTGAGGGAGAGAGGGAGAGAAAGAGAGAGAGGGTGCGCGCGAGCGAGCAACAGAGAGGGAGGGAGACAGAATCCCAAGCAGGTTTTGCACTGTCAGCACAAAGCCCGAC